AGCAGGAAATGGACCCATCTCGGTCTCCCTGAAAAGCCCTGCCAAAAGGGGCTCTTATGTACGAACAATGAGATGTTGAGGCACCAGTTCTAGTGTAAATACTACAGCAGTGCTAGGAAAGGACTCAGACTGCCCATCTTGAGTCTCTCTGTCTAGGTACTGTACCTACGTGGCGTCTGCTGCAGTGTTAAGCACCAGCCAAGTGTTTGAAGAGGCAATATAGCAGTCTGTGTTATGCCCACGGCTGTCCAGGCTGTAGGAGAAATAGCTCCAATAGAGCATGGGGCTATGGGCACGAGACCTGACCTGTTGAGAGAAAGTGAATTTGGGTCCTGGCCATGGTGGAGTCTGGGGTTCCTTCTCCCCTTTGTGGCAAGCTCCGCTGGCCAGGTCTGCCATGGTGCCTCCTGCACCACATTTGTTTTCTCCTGAAAGGCAGTCTGGGCTCTGGTCTCAGCTCCCTCCACCAATTTGACTCACTTCCCTTGTTTCTTTTCCAGCTGAACTACCTGGTGCCAGCCACCTGCTGCATCATCATCCTCTTTGTGTTCGACCTTCCGGCATATACCTCTTCCACCAACTTCCCGGCCGTTCTCTCGCTTTTCCTGCTCTACGGGTACGTCCACAAGGCTGCTGTTCACTATAAATGCTGTTGTATACAGGAACTAGGCTTCTGCCTTTAGTTTTGCTTCCTCTCGAGTGATAAATCTAGGATTCCCCACCCCTCTCTCAGCCTCTCTCGCCCTGTAACACTTCACCACAGATAGTCTCTACCTTGTCCTACTACAGGCTAGTGTTCTTCCTTATTACTCCTGTTCTCACACAAGACACTCCTGTTTCTGCAAAGGGGTGAAGGATGCCTTGTAGCTAGAACATGGATCTTAGCACAGCCAAGCCTGTGAGGGCTCCTGTTTGAATTGCATGGACCATAGTACTCAGAGGTGGCTCTCAGCTTCTGGGCTTGGACCATGTGTGCACAGGGATCTCAGCTTCTGGTGCAGGCTGGCATTAGTTGAGACCTGCCCTGGTGTGGCTCTCCACAGAATCTCTCTATACCAGTGACTACCAAGATCTAATTCAGATCTTGTGGCCCGGCCCCCTGCAGCTCACACTGAAGTCTGTGGGAGAACTGGGTGCTCATTACCCACCAAAATCGGGCTCATGGGGTCTCAAGGTGGGTGCCCAGAAAGGGAAGCCACTTCTGAAAATGCGTGTTTTGGTGTCTGGGCATCTAATCTGTCAGAGCAGCCCTGTCTGCGATGGGTCACTGCACTGCTCTGCTGCACAGGGCAATGTGGCAGGCCAATCCCATCCATGTCTGCTGCATGCCTTGAGAGCCAAGTGGGAGGTCACCATAAAAGGGCAAGAGGTTTGCTTGTTCTGTTTTGTTTGGAGACTCTCCCAGTGCAGCTACTACTGATTCAAGATTAACTCTGGGAGATGTCTGAGGAGTGGCTAAAGCTACTCTACTTATAGCCAGTGAACTAAGAATCCTAGAGTTAGAAATTTGTCATCCAGTAGGTGTAATGGGGACAGATAGAGCATCCAGTAGATCACCTATCTGCATTGGGTATAAGGGAAGACAGGCCTGGTCCCTGTCTGCTGTCTCTGATACAGTTATCCTGGGGTTCTTTTTCCACCAGTTGGTCTATTACCCCCATCATGTACCCAGCCTCCTTCTGGTTTGAGGTGCCCAGCTCAGCTTATGTCTTCTTGATCGTTATTAACCTCTTCATTGGCATCACGGCCACCGTCGCAACCTTCCTACTGCAGCTCTTTGAGCACGACAAGGTAGATGCATGCATGTTCCTGTGGGTCACCAGAAGGGGAGCAGGACATCTGGCCCAATTCCATCTAGCTCAGCTTTACTTGATTTGGCAAGACCTGCTCTGGGCCAGTGCCTGTGGTATCCAAGCTATCATTGCTAAGCTGCTGGTGGTGATAGCCACAAGAGAAGGGGAGGGAGCACATCGCCACAGCCTGCTCTGTTGGGCTGTAGCGCAGGGTGTCTGCTTGCTAGCTCTTTTTAACATGATTTTGGCACTACTGATCCTCTCCACACAGCTCCCCCTCTCCACACAGCACAGCCATTTTTCTTGGGGACATTCCTAGCTGGTGACACACAAGACAGAACCAAGCACATCATCTCCTTTCTTTGCCCCACCTTCAGGACTTGAAGGTCGTTAACAGCTACCTGAAGAGTTGCTTCCTCATCTTCCCTAACTACAACTTGGGTCACGGGCTGATGGAAATGGCATACAATGAATACATCAATGAATACTACGCCAAGATCGGTAAGTCCACTGTTTGCTACCTGCCTCAGCACGGCCTGATTTATGGTTGATCTAACACACCCTGTTTTATCCATGAAAACCAGACCGGCTGCCATGGGTTTACATCCAAGTGAGAGGCAGACTGTGTGCCTGGATGGAATGGTCTGAGGCAGGCTGTTGGGCAGGGGCTGTAGTTGTGCTGTAGTTTATGATGTCTAGCATAATCTAGGGCCTATATCTGAGGCATTGCCTCGACACAAGCCACTAATAACCATAAGAGCCGTGTCATCCTGGTCAGTCATGTCACTGTTGTAATCAAATTTCCCAGAAAAAAACAGTCCCAAATTTTCCAACCAAAGCTATGTCCAGGTTACCTCAAGTGTGTCAGAGATGAGGCTGCTTTTAGTGGTCTATTTTAGGAGACTTTCTAACCAACTTTCCCTCCTGTCACATTGAGGTATCTTTAGCTTGCTCCTAAAAATCTCTTTCCATTTCCTAATCTGTTCCCATCTCTTAATTTTTCAGAGCTGCTGGCTGCTTAATATTTTTGGAACAGAATCAGAATGATCCTCCAAATATACATTTTCATTTACGGTTTTGTCACCTGATTGACATTGAAAAATTGCACGATGACTTTTTAATGGTGAACAGTTTCATAATTAAAAGGCATTGTTCTTCCCAGATATAGCACTGATGACAATAAATAGCCTCAGACACTCTCTATGGCACTGATCCCAGGAATGAAGCTAAATTGAAAGTGAAATAAAACTCTTTTGCCCATGCACTGACACATTATTATACTGAGGAAATACTTCTTTGTTTTTTTCATGGTCCAGCTCAAGTAATGTATATACTTTTTGATAGACCCTACTTCTTCCCTTGGAGATTTTCCATGTAAGCCTTGAGCTTGTTGTTTCACAATGTGCTAATAATGTTTAATTTTCATTGCCTTTGATGTTCTACTTTAACCTACTTTTGGATTTAGTAAAATTCTGGGCATTTCAGTTTAGAATATCATTATTCTGTTTAAATATCATTGCTGTGTAAAAATATTCTTCTCACAACACTAAGAAATGCCTAAAAATCTTAAAACTTAGCTCCTTCAGCCATTTACACATGGACATGACTTCTCCTTCTGGCTCACTCTGGCTGTGGTGGCCCCACCCAGTGGAAAAATTGAAGTAAATGCATCTGTCCTGGCAGAATCAGGGCCCAGATTAAATTGCCTCAAACTATAACTAGATTGTAAAGGGCATTTTAAATAGCTGTCTGTTGGGAAATTCCTATGATTCATTCCTCTCTTGTACATTTGCAGACTTCTTTTTTTTCTGTTATTTGAGCAACTAAGGTAACTTAATTTTCCCTTCATGCCTTGATATTATGTAGTGGTGTCTTATGGGAGAAAAATACGGCTGCTCTCCATCCTCATGCTCCAGGGCTCAGTTTGTCACCAGCTGGGGTCAGGAAGGAATTACCCAACCTTTCACAAAAGTGCATTTGTAACAGGCTTGTGCATTTCCCTAGGTGCAATATGTGATTCCTGTTGTCTTATCTTTGTCTGCACATTTATCCTCTTCACTTCTCTACTCAGGGCAGTTTGATAAAATTAAATCACCCTTTGAGTGGGACATCGTGACCCGTGGCCTGGTCGCCATGACAATTGAAGGCTTTGTTGGTTTCTTCATCACGATTATGTGCCAGTATAACTTCCTTCGGAAACCACAGTGAGTGGCCATGGGGGGGCGGGGGGGAGGCACTCCATCTATCACTCCCTGTGGGCTCTCCATGGGGTCAGACATGGGTGGGCTGTCAGAGGTCCAGCAGAGTTGATTCCCAGCAACTGAAGCTCTGCAGCAATGCAGTGAGGGGCAGATGTCTGGGAATGAGCTTACCAGGCTCCCAGAACAGAAGCTGCACTAGGAGGTTGCATTGAGAGGCTGGTACCCAGATCAACATGGGCCTTGTATTCAACTCTGGGATCTCCTTCAGCAATACGAACTGGAGTGTGGAGCTGACTGGTCTCTGAGCCCTGGTGCCAAACCAGGCTAGGTTCTGCTGCTGAGTCAGCCCTGTCCAGCCTCTGCAGGATTGCCCTGCCTTGATGTGGCAGGCACAGGCCATGCTCACTGGTTAGACCATGTAAGCCTGTGCTAAAGTAACCTCTCAGGCTGGCATAAGCCCCCATGGAGCCTGGCTCCTAGAGCGGGGAGTGCTCTGTCAGGCTGGTGGGTGCTCTGATGCAGGGGGGAACAGTGGGACTGTGCTACTTTACACTGGGAGTAACAGCAGGGTGGTGTTCCCTGGAGGGCCTTGGGGTACTCCGCATCCCTCCTGGGTAGGGTTCTGGGTCTGCACCGTGTTCAGGGAAGTGCCCCACAGTTAAATTGCAGATAGTGTTTTCCTGGGCTTGTGGGTCTGCAAAACGTGACTGAGCCTCCCCCTATACATGGGAGGAAGGCATCCCAATGTGTAGTCCTGACGCTGCTAGTTCATTGCCCTCTGCCCTTCCGGAGCCAGGAGCACTCTGTGGTTCAGTCTGGGCCCATGTGTTCCAGTTCTGTTCTTCAGGCTGCATTGCTGGAGCAGCTATACCATGGACAGCACAAAGGAAGGAGCATCAACATTTAATTAATCTATGCTGTCCCACCTCTCCACATATGGAGAAACAGAGACATAGAAAGTGGTTGGGGGGTGGCTGGTGACAGTTGCTTAGTAAGCCAGAGCAGAGCTGTCATTTAGGATCTGGAGCTTCTGGCCTTGTGCTTCACCCAGGGGACCAATCTCTCCTGAGCTGGATCCTGGAGATGCCTGATTCTGGCTGTGGACCCCAAAGCCCCTTGTCCAAGAGTGACCCTTTCTCCTCTGGGGGTGTATTTCACAGCTCTCCAGTGAGCTCAGCCTCTGGGCGATTTCTGGAGAGCACTCACTCACTACTGGGCCATGGAGAACAGGGTAGCCCTGCTGTGTGCTAGGAGTGGAGATGACAGTAGGACCCAGGAGTCCTGAGTTGGAACCCTGTGCAGTAACCACTAGAGCCTTGTGCAATTCAGAGCCTTAGGGATGCGTCTGGGATTGGGCACCATCAGAGACGGGATGTTGTACCCCAAAACAAGCCACCCCCTGCTGTTTCCAAGCAGCCGAAGCTAAGCCCTGATGATTTTGATAGGAGGAGGCAGAGATGAGCGGTGGGGGTGGGATGTTGCCTCTCTGGCTCATCTGAGCTCACAGTGCTACTGCCTTGATCCCAGTGTCACATTCCCCTCTCCCCCAGGCGGCTGCCTGTCTCCACCAAACCCATCGAGGACGACATCGATGTGGCCAATGAGAGGCACCGGGTCCTGCGTGGCGATGCCGACAACGACATGCTCAAGATAGAGAACCTGACCAAGGTAGAATGGCCTCTGTCCTCTGTACCCTCAGCACTATGGGGATGAGGACTCGGATGTAAGGTGCTGCCCACCACGGGTCTTCAGCAGCAGGAGCTGAGCCCTAGACCTCTGCATCCAAAACCATGAGCCTCTGCTGCCTGAGGCAAGACACAGCTCTTAGCTCAGGGGCCTTAGGCCCATCATAGCCACCAGAGGAGCAGTACCAAGAGTGGGTTATGCTGGCAGGGGGCAGGGGAAGCCTGGGCCCAAAGCTAGAGGTGCATGTGCCCCACATACCCCACATGCCCCTGGAACCAATTGCAGAGGTCTGGTCTGGAGCAGAGGAGAAGGATGGGCAAGTCTGCAGCTCTGCTAACGCCTTCCCTTCCTGGAGCACAGGTGTTGGTCCTGTGGGTGCCTTCCATTGCCACCACCATAGGGTGAGGTGACTCTGTGACCCAGTCCCCTGCAGCTGCAGCTCTGATCCTGCCTGGGGAGCTGTCACCCTGAGCTACGATTCTGTTCCTCTTTGCACCAGGTCTACAAGTCCCGCAAGATTGGGCGCATCCTGGCTGTGGACCGGCTGTGCGTGGGCGTTCGTCCTGGGGAGTGCTTTGGATTGCTGGGTGTCAATGGAGCAGGCAAGACCACCACCTTCAAGATGCTGACTGGGGACGAGAGCACCACAGGGGGAGAGGCCTTCATCAACGGACACAGGTGCCAGCACACTGGGTGTGGGTGGGAGTAGGGGGTGGTGCCGTGCTGTGGAGTGGGGAGCCTCCTGGGGGAGCCTTAAGATGACTGAAACAATATGCCAAACTGCATATGCTAAATAAGTTGGAGTGAACTGCATGGTTGTCCAGCTGGCCTGCAGAGCAGTCCTTGCAAAGCAGGGACCAGTGCTGTGTCCTGTAGACAGTCAGTGACATGGTGTGCGCTGCTCATCCCCTGTCCTCAGGTGTGACAGTCTAGTGCTTTTTAAGCTGGGGAAGTGGAGGCACAGGGCAGGGAGTGACCTGTCTCAGAACACCCAAGTGGTCTGCATCAGCAGCCTCACACCAGCTCCACCTCCTGTCCCCACAGCATCCTGAAGGAGCTGCTCCAGGTGCAGCAGAGCTTGGGCTACTGCCCCCAGTTTGATGCCCTCTTCGACGAGCTCACAGCTCAGGAGCACCTGGAGCTGTACACCCGGCTGCGTGGCATCCCCTGGAAGGATGAGGAGAGGGTAAGCCTCAGTGAACCCCTGGTACGTCACAGAAGGGTTCTGCCTGTTCCCTCCAGTGGCTGCCTCCGGTTACCAGAACCGGACTGTGGCTCTCGGCCAGGGGGTCCATGCCCAGTAGCTGGTTCTCCACTTTGCCCAGGCACTGCTGCCTCTCTAGCAGTGATGGAGGATGCTTGGCCCCATGTGTAGGGCTTGGTCACCTGAGCCCCTCCTGCTCTGCCCCCCTCCAGGTGGTGAAGTGGGCGCTAAAGAAGCTGGAACTCGACAAATATGCTGACAAGCCGGCCAGCACCTACAGCGGAGGCAACAAGAGGAAACTGTCCACAGCCATCGCCCTGATTGGATACCCCTCCTTTATCTTCTTGGTGAGGACATGGCCTCCCCTTGACCTGGGCCCAGCTGTGTTCCTGTATGTCTCAGCCCTGGCTCCTGCCAGCCTCTGAGGTCCATGGTACTGAGATAAGGGATGTCCACACAGACCTTTACCCTGGGCTGAGCTGATACTGGGGCACAGCTACCTTCAGTAAAACAGGCCCCAGTAGTGGGGAAAGGGGAGGTCCTCTCTGACCAACCCTCCCTTTGAGAAGGGGGTCCCTGTGGTCACCCCCTTGGCTCCACAGCTGGACCTGGTGCAGGTGTGAGCGGGGATAGCAGGTCCTCATGTGCAGGGCACACCCCTCCATGCCTGGTAGGTTTGCATCCTCATAAGGTCTTGTGAGGGAAGTGGGCAGTGACCAGCATGGGCACCAGCTGCTGAAGGAAGGACAGAAAGACCCCGGCAAGGTGAGGTGGCTGAGTGATTTGGGAGGGAAGTTAGAGCTAGCTCATGTGGGGTTTGTTTCCTGCCTGGCAGGACGAGCCCACAACGGGCATGGACCCCAAGGCACGTCGCTTCCTGTGGAACCTCATCCTGGACATCATCAAAACTGGACGCTCGGTTGTGCTGACATCCCACAGGTTGGTCAAGACCCAAGAAACTCCTTGAGGTGTGATGGCCCCCTTCTCCCACCTCTGCATGGGACCCCCCAGTGGGAGAGCTACCAGCTGGGGTGTCTTGTCTTGTTGGGCCCTGGTCCCATTCACATCTCCGAAACGCTTCTCTAATGGCAGCCCAGGGCCCTGCCCCGTGGCCCCTATGATCACCCCCTTAGCTTCAGCACCTGACCTGGTGCAGGCCATGCTTGTGCCCATGGACATCACAGCCTCCAGTGCCCAGCACACAGCACATCTGGGCCTTGCATCCTCATTCCCATGGCCTGCTCACCCCCAGCCTTGCCTCCCTCAGCATGGAGGAGTGCGAGGCGCTGTGCACCAGGCTGGCCATCATGGTGAATGGGCGGCTCAAGTGTCTTGGCAGCATCCAGCACCTGAAAAACAGGTAAGAGATTCTACCCAGGGGAGGAGTCCAGGAGAGGGGAGCAGCACCTGCACTGTCAGGACAGACCCTCCACCTGGATGGGGCTGCAGAAATTGCTGCCATGGTGGGCGGTGGTGTTGCTCCCTGCCATCTCTCCTGGGAGGTGCATGGCTTCCACAGTGCCAGCTCTTTCATAGTGTCACTGTCGGGAAGGACTTCTTTGGTGTGAGGGCCACCCTGGGCTGGCTCATAGTCAGGGCAAGTCCCCTCTTCTTCCTGGTGCAAGGCATCTACACAGTGGAGTTTGAGGGAAGGCCTAGGCACAGGGCTGGCAGGAGGGGGCTCTCAGCAGAGCTGTCCCAGACCGAGTTACAGACTTCCTGCCTTTAGCAGCCCAGTGGCATCAGTATCTGTGGTCCCAAGGCTCACATGCAGCCCTCCCCAGCATCCATTTCTTACACTCAGGTCAGCATTGAGGTGAGTACCCCATTGGCTCCCAGCAGTGGGAGGTCAGGCCAGCACAGCACCAGCCTGGCTAAAGATGGACAGTCATGGAGGAGTGCCAGCCTGGGCTGGAGGGGGAGTTCCGCGGGGGTCACACACCTCCATGGAGGGCCATGGCACAGCACTATGCCCCTCTCCTGGGAGCAGGGTTACATGGTTCGGTGGGCAGATGTGGGTTGATGTTGTGTCCCTGGTGCCTGCCCAGATTTGGAGACGGCTACATGATCACAGTACGGACCAAGTCCAGCCTCAACGTCAAGGAAGTAGTGCGGTTCTTCAACCGGAACTTCCCAGAGGCCATCCTCAAGGTGAGCCTGGCCCCTGCAGCCCAGCATCTGTACCAACCCCAGGGGGACAGGGCCCAGCAATGGGCTGTGTATAGCTCCCCTGCTTCCCTGGCTGGGGCTCTTGGTAGAGGTGAGCATTACCTGGGCTCCCAGGAGGCCCAGCCTGCAGTCTCTGGGGTCTTTGCCTGCTGGGTCTGATACCACATCCCAGACTCCAAGAGCACGTTTGGTGCTGCCTGCCAAGAGAAACATTACAAAGCCCTCAATGCTCACATGTGGGTGGAAACAGCAACTTGTAGCAAGGACCGACAATTTCCCCTCTGTTGGGGGATTTCACAGCCCTTCAGTGAGGTCAGCTTCCAGAAGGTCTGTGAGGAACACTGTCCTTGCTGTACCACTAGACTGCAGAGAGCAGGGTGGTCCATCCTGGTGTGTGCTGGTGGCAGAGATAGCAACAGGACCCAGGCATCCTGTCCACAGCCCTGTGCTGTGACCGCTAGAGCCTTGGATAGTTCAGAGACTTGAGAATGCGTCCGTATCGGGCACCATCAGAGAGAGGATCCCCACACAGGCTGTCCCTCTAAGCAACCCTAGCTAAACCCTGATGCTTTTGGTAGGAGGAGGGAGAAATAAGTTAACCTTTTCCTGTTCCTGGGATAACAAGTGCCTGTAGCCTGCTTCACCTCTGAGCAGGGAGTCCAGCCTTTTCCCTGCACTCATCAGCTCCTAGTCTCACAGTCGGGCCCACCCCTGAAAGTGCTTGGCTGGTGTGTCCCTCTGCTCTGAGTGCCAGGTGCTGCCCCAGGTCTCTTGGCCATCCAGCCCCTGGATAGGGAGAGCACAGAGGTATCCAAAGGGTCTTGAGCATTGGGGTGCTTCTCCCGGGCATTTCTCCCACTGCCCACAGCAGCTTTAGGGGATGATGCTGGACCTCAGACCTGGGGGCATCTCCTCTTACATGGCCTAAGTGCAGAAGATAGGCCTGTGGTATGTGAAAGTTGGGCAGCAAGCAGAGGGGCTGGGCAGTGCTTTATCTTGCCCCTCGGGGGTGACCCTAGCATCAGTCTTGCCTTTCTAGGAGCGACACCACACCAAGGTGCAGTACCAGCTCAAGTCGGAGCAGATCTCACTGGCCCAGGTCTTTAGCAAGATGGAGCAGGTGGTGGACGTGCTGGGCATAGAGGACTACTCGGTCAGCCAGACCACGCTCGATAATGTGAGTCCCAAGGAAGCTGGGGCCAGGAAGTCCAGCATAGCCAGGGTTGTGGGGGCTTCAGAAGCCTCATCTAGAAGCCCCCTCCACAGTCTCCCTGCACCTTCTGCTTCCTCCCTCAGGTGTTTGTGAATTTTGCCAAGAAACAAAGTGACAACCTGGAGCAGCAGGAGACCAGCCCCAACTGTTCCATCCAGTCACCCCTGGAGCGTGTCCTGAGCTTGCTGCGCCCACACGCTGCCCCCACTGAGCTGCGGGCCCTGGTGGTGGAGGAACCTGAGGATCTGGAGACTGATGACGAGGGCTTGATCAGCTTTGAGGAAGAGAGGGTGAGGGGCATCCCAGTGCCTTTGCTGCCCCCTCCCCTGGTCAGCAGGCCTGGCCTGGCATTGTGCCCAGGGTGGAATAGTACATTGGGGCACTGCCCTCTCCTGGGTGAACTTGCAGTGGGTGCTTGGGCCTTGGGTACTAGTCCATGGCCAACACCCTGCACTGCAGAGATGGGAGGAATCCAAGACCTGGTGTTAATGTTCCTGGGCAGCCCCACAACAGCCTTGTGGCCCCACTCCCATCTTGTGCACCTGCCAGGGCCTCCCTGAAGTTGCCTCACTTCCCTGGTGGCCCTGGCACCAAGCACTAGCCCTGGGATGCAGAGACTGCCGTTCTCCCAGTGAGACCCCACGTTAGGAGGAGTACTGTTCTCCATGTCCTCCCCTGGGCTCCCAGGGAGCTAGAAGGTGCATGTTCCCTAGTGTTGATCTCCCTTGCATCCTGGCTGGCCAAAGTGCCTCGCAGCATGGAACTGGGGACAGCCTCTGGGTCACCAGCAGGGGCTGTGGTGCCTGGGACTGGCTGCCGGTACAGGAGCTGAGAACACCTGCAGCTGGGGCTCAGAGTGGGGCTCATCCCTGTTGGAGTGGGCGAGGGCTTCCCCCTGGACTTATGAGGGGCAGGGAATTACAAACTTGGCAGGGGCCAGGACAGTCCAAGTGTCAGGGACTGTTTGTGCTCCATGACTCCATCTATCACTTCCACCCACAGGCTCAGCTCTCCTTCAACACGGACACACTCTGCTGAGGAATCGCGGGAGCGAACTCCCCAGCTTTGGAGCTGCCAACTCCCTCTTCTGCCCTTGCGCCCTCTCCCTTGCCCCAGTCCTGCCTGCCCCGACCTCTACGGAGCAGCACTCATCCAGCATTAGCAAGACTGGCGGCCATCTCCACCTCCATTGGCGAGGCCAGTAGTGGCCTGGATCCTCCAGTCTGAGCCGGAGGCTGCTGTGGAGCCCCTGTAGAGGGCAGAGCGTTGGCCTGGATGGACCAGGGGGTGGCTTGTCCCCCTGTACCAGCTGCCTGCTGGACCCACAAGCCAGGTGCACGCCTGTCCTGGACTGCCTTGACCACTTTGCCTGTGGTAGAGAAGAGGACGGGTTGCCTGGGGCTTCCGAGGCAGGGGGACAGTCAGGAAGATGGGAGCGGGAGCAAGGAACAGGTGTACAGATCAGCCGGCACTTCCGCTGCTTTCTTTGCTCACACTGGACGTGGGAGAGGAGCAGGGCTGCGCCACCCTGCGGACAGCAGTGGGCCTTCACAGAAGGACTGACCCGTCTGCTTCTGCTGCCCTGCAGAAGGGCTTTTCTGTCCCTCCCAAACCCCCCAGTGCAGAGGGTGGGAAAGGCACAGTACCCAGTGCTGCCCGCCCCCCCAGGCTGGGGCAGACAGCACAGCCTCGGGGAAGGGAAAGAGGTTTTATTTTTTAATGAAATGAGATTCTCCAGTTGGATGCAGCAATGCCAAGACTTGCTCCTGTAGGCACCACCCAGAGCCTACAAGGAGCTGAGCTTTACTTCCTTCCTGTGTCAGGCGGATGTGGCTTTTCCTTTGAATACATGGGACCTGATGGAGCTTGAGGGATGGCGCCCTGCAGTCCCGGCATGGAGCAGGGAGGAGGCAATGGGGCTTTTCTTGATTGGTGGAGATGGGCGCTCCCCTGCCCTTCACTATCCTTATTACTGGGACATGCTGGGAGTTCTGCCCAACCAGAGCCAAGGGTCCTAGTGCTGTAAAGAGATGTGCCTGTAACATGGACCCTCCCTTGTCTGCGTGCAGCCTCCAGGCCTTGTGCCCTGCTGGCAATTCAGGAGTGGGAAGAGGGAAAGGGATGTCATTCTGGGGCGGGAGGGGGAGCTGCTTTTGCTATAAGACTGTCCTCCCTGCTGCTCTCCTCACCTAGCAAGAGACTTGCCAGTGGGGCAGTCCCGTGTGTCAGAGTCCAGGCCTGTGTCCCAAGCAAACCCCTGCCAGTGACCCAGCAGTGTCAGCACAGGTTTAACCAGGGTCTCCCCAGCTTCCTCAGCCTCAGCCCAGTGTGTACCTCTCCCAGCCCTTCAACCCTTGTGATGGCCTTCCACTCCTTCCAGGGCTGGCTGTGCCCCTATCCAGCCTGGCTGTGGTTCTGGGGCTGGGCTTGTTAGAGCATCACCTGCACCCCGTGCCCCTCGCTTCAGTCCTCTTGCTGTGTGCCTGGCTCCCAGCAGCCTTGCCTCTGCTGCTGTTCTCTCTCATGTCCTGCACCCCCAGCTCCTGTAGAAAGTGCTTTGGGGTGTCTGCAGGCACCACTGGCACTCTCCTGGCATAGCATTAACTAGGCCCCTGGCTGGAGGCATCACCCTTCTTGCATCTCACCTGGCAGTCTGTATAATCACCCCTTCAGATGCCTGAATCTGGACCTTGGCCCAGTTGGCTGCTTGCTTCAGGGGAAGGGCTGGCCCCAGAGCTGGTTTTGAGCTGTGACTCACTTTGTTTCTCATTTCGGGCTGGGAGTGGTGCCGCAGGGATGAGGCAGCCTGCCAGGGCCCCTGCCCTAGACCAGCACTTTTCTGTCTTGGCATTAACTCTGCAATAATACCACACATGGCCAACCCGGCTGGGGCCCTGAGCTGTGCTGGGGGGTGTGTACAGTCAGGCTGCCTGGGAATCTCTTTTGTGAAGAGATGCTGAGGATTCACCTGTGCCACCGTAGAGCGTTCCCAGCCCCTCTACCTGACAGCAGCTGCTGGCAGCCCTCCCTGCCCCCCTCCCAAACTCGGCTGGTTTTGTCCCTCCTTTCTGTGGAGGAGCCTGCGGCTCTGGGTGGGTTTGGTTTTAACTGACTCCTGGAGACTTGTGCACCAGGGCTGATGCTGTGGTGTCAGTGCTCCCCCCCTGCAGAATTTCCTTTACCCTGGGGCTCGAGTGGCTTGTTCCTGTTCCCTGTGGCCAGTCTGACCTGTGGTGGGCAAGGGCACTGTGCCCATACTGCCTTAGCTCTTCTGGACCCCACACTCTCCACTGACTCCTAACCCAAAGGGGGCAGGGGCATCTCTCCTAGCTTTGCCCCATATATGTAGTTGCTCTCTACCTTGGCAGCCCATTCCTGACCCCTTGGGCTCTGCCTTGTGACCTGTGCTCTGTCAGGACAGTGCTTCCTATGGGCAGAAGCCTCATCGGTTGTGGAAGCCGGCTTGGGGCTGAACGTGCTGTGGGGAGGAGCCCCGTGCCTGGGACTGCCAGTGCAGCTCCTGGGTGTGTCTCAGCATCTCCTCTGTTTAATTTATTTTCCTCCACATGTGGCAGCTGCTGTTTGCAAAGCACCTTCCACGTGCCTGCCCCGACTAGGCCTGACTAGGCTGCCTGTCAGTCAGCAAGGAAGGATGCCCCCTTTTTTTTTCTTTTCCCAGTGTTCTTTGGCGCTGCGTCCCCCTCACGCACCCTTTAGTGAGAAGCTGCCAGGGTGCACTTAGCTGGCCCCGCATACCCTGTGCTTGTCTTTCTGCATCCATGCGCACAACTCTGGGTCCTGTGGGATGCAGGCACTGTCCTTCCCCTTTACTCACCCCCTGCAAGGCGTCTTACCAGCCCCTGCCCCACCTATCTGGTTCCAGGAGGGTTTTGCAGGCCCCAAATGTGGGGGGAAGGGGGAAGCTTTGCTGATAAATCTGAGGGCAGCTCTTTTTCAGACCATTCAGGAGTGAGTCTGAGTGGAGAAAGCAGTTTTCAGGGACTGTGCCTTGGGCACAGGGCGGAGGGTTGATGGCAGGGGAGATTAGGCAACAGGGCTCAGCAGAGCTAGACAGGCCCCTGGTCCTGGTGTGTGCCCTGTGTGCCACAAACCAGCCCAGGCTGCATCTGCAATAGCAGGAAACTGGCCAGCCTCGATGCCATGCCAATGACAGGGTTGTGATTCCCTCCTGCAGTATTTTCACCAGGGGAGATGTACATATCTATTTTTCAGAGCTTATATTTTTGAAGTTTTTGGCAGGCTGGCGGGCTCCCTCCCTTTGTCTAAGGGCCTAAATGCATGGCATCCTGGAAAGGCAAGGCTTCAGCGTTGGCTCTGTATGCCAATGATTTTAAGAACTAGTTTCCCCATTAATGTCAAAGCAGCTTCAGGTCTGCTGAAATGCAGCACAGAGTGGAGTGTCAGCTGGGGTCCCTGCAGCACCCGCAGCCCATGTACCTGTGCCAAATTGCATCTCCTGCCTCCCCATGCTCTTCTTTGTGTGTCACCTCCCAGCTCCCTCTGCCCATCCCCCAGGCTGCCCCTTCACCCACAAACAGGCTCCAGCTCTCCAGTCTTCAGATTCCTCCCACTGACCCTTCAAAACCACTTGAGAAATCCCCCTGTCTATCTCCTCCCTCCCCAGCTCGGCAAGAACTTTGTCTTTGCCCTGCCTAGCTTGGGGCCTGATCCTGCTCAGTCTACGGGTGTCGTCTTCCCATAGGAGCCGGAAGGCAACGATAAAATCACTGACACTTGTAGCTGCTGTGCGAGTCAGCACCAGGGGTAGCCAGGTGTGTCTGCTGGCTGGTTAGCCCTCATCTTTGAGCTCCTGTCTCGAAAGGCGAGGGAATCCAATGCCAGTTGCAGCTGCATGGCAGGGGAGGCCGGTTCCTGGCTCAGAGCTGTCAGCTTCCTGTTTCAGTGACCAGCTGTGTGAACCCAAGACAGGCAAGTAAAATGCTCTGTTGAAGGGCATAGGAATGGGCTCGGACTCATGTCTGGAACCTGAGAGGGCCAGACATGGGCATTACTATCAGTGAGCTCCCCCCGAGGTTACGCTTGTGCCTTCCCAGTGTGGGTTGTCTTCAGTTGGCATGAGGGGCATTTGAGTTTGTTGCCATGCAAGTGCCTGCACTAAGGGACACTAGTTTAGCAAAGGTGACTTACAAACCAGCTGGGTTAGATGGGCTGTTTGTGTGTGCCGCTCCTGGGACTGAAACCCAATCTCTAACCTCGGCTCCACAGAACCTCTGGGGCTCCCAGTGCAGGCCCTGCTGCAGCCCAGATTCCTTACTGGGATCAGCCTGGCATGCAGTCTCCCCTCGGCCCTCTGCTCGGTCTGGGCGAAGCTGTCCCCATGGGTGGTGCCCAGGCCCTGTGCATGTTGGCCACCCCTCATGCATCCCCTTCTTCCTGAATGCTCTCCTTGTCCACTGCCGTCCTCCCACCTGAGCTCATGTCCCCTGCAGCCGGAGGGAAGGACCCAGCGCTGCTTAGGAAGACTCATGGGAGCCCTAGTACTCAAAGGGGGTGAGGGAGAGCTGCAGAACAGCTGGTGAATTGGATGGGCTGTGGGTCCCTCCTGAAGGGTGTTGGGCTGGGCTGGAGATGCTCCAGCAGGCTGTGATAGAGACCCTAGAGGAGGGAAGCCTGTGTGTAATCCTTGCTAATGTGGCCTGGCTCTTCAGCATACTTTACGCACCAGGTAAAGGTGAGAGGCACTGACAGTCGGCCCTCTAGCTTGGGCAGAACCAGACCTCCTCTTTAGGCCTAGCGGTCCCAGGGTCAGTCCCACATGGCAGCCCTGGCAGTTGTGACACAGGTGGCCCGTTGGTGCCACCACATGGGCCTAGAGCATGTGAGCCCAGAGGCACAGTAGGCTGCTCCCTTGTCTGTCCAGTCCCAGTCATCTAAGTCCTGCTACTTGGCCTGCTTCCTGACTTTGGTAGGTTCATCCCCCCTGCCAGGCCTTTGCTTGTCTGCCCGCTTTCTCTGTGCTGCACCTTGCCAGAGGCACTGGTTTGTGACTGGATGGCACCGCTGGGGCAGGAGGCGCCGCTGGACGGGGACAGTGTGGAAGAGCCTGTATATTGCTAGCAAAAAAACAAACAAGAAAATGTGAAAATAATGATTGTTTTAAATAAAAAAAAAAAAATACCTGTAAGAGCAGCCCGTGTGTCTGTGTCATGTCTGGAGGGGTGTGTCCGGCTGCGGGAGCCTGGCAGGAAGGGCAGAGTGGAGATGCCTCCCTGGTCATGAGGTGCATGAGGGCAGCAGTAGGTCTCTGGCACAGTGGCTACGTGGCTTTCCTCCCAAGCTGGGAGGGTGGGAGTTGGTACGGCCTGCCTGCCCTGCTGGGCATGCCAGGGCCTAGGTAGAGTAATGGCTTAGAAGTGCTACTATCCCCTGAGCTGGTTGGGTCAGGCCAGCCCAAATAGGGGGGGATTTGGAAAAAGTCCTTAGCTACCCAGCAAGTCAGGACTCTGCAAAGGCTGACATGGCTTAGGAGTAGTGTTGCCAGATGCACACTAATCCCATACACTCAACCTTTGTACAAGAAGCGATTGCAGCTGTAACCAAACAGGCAGGGTTTGGGGTGGTTCTTGGGAGCACTTGCTTTGCATGTGAGCTGACAATCAATTTGTGCTGTCTTCTGTGTCCTCATACTGGTGTTTGGTCATCCCCCAAGCCCATGGGCTTGTTCAGAGGCACATCATACGTGACTATAACTGAAGGCACATGGGGAATGGCAGAGGACAGTGACCTGCCCCCAAGTATAATTCAGTGGCAATAGTCAAGTACTAGGACGTGACAGTGAATGAAGCAAGATATTTGCTCTATGTGGCCATGTGATCCTAGTTTTGGCAATGTCACAATGGTTTTCTTCGGGTAAGATGGACTATAGTGGGCCCTCAAGATGATTTCATGTCTCAGATCTGGCAGCACTGCTCAGATGCACTCTCACAAGCTTGCCAGGTCTCCACGATCTGAACCAGCAAAGTGCCCAGCCCACGAGCAGTGAAACGCCCGCCTGCCCATCACCCCCCTGGCTGCCGTGTGTCAACAGTCCTCTTCCACCAGCACATCAGCCAAGAGGCACTTACAAAGCTGGGGTGTAACTGGACTCCACCTGGCAACACGTTCTTTGTAAAATATTTACTACTATAATAAGCAGTGTGTGAAAGTCAACACGGTATGACCGAGGCCCGTTACCAACGGGCATCTGAAGAAAGGGGTTCAGTTAAGGTTGGTGGGTTCTGGTGGAGGGGATTATGGCAGTGGGGAGCCAGCCCTGCCAGACTGGAGTAGGGAGCATCAGGAAAGGGCTTTGGGCATGTCTGTTGATGATGGATCCACATGCTTCAACCCTGAGCTCCTCTGCCAGCTGGGAAGTCTCCAACTATTTTTTACTGAGCTCCACTCTCTTAACAGTTTTAGCTAAAATCCCAAGTGGCAGTGCTGCGTGGGAACCAGGGCAGAACCCACGCTGTTCTCTGTCCTTGTCACTCAAGGTAACACAGGGCACAAAGCCAGGGACTTCTGGGGTCTGAACTCTGCTCTGGGTGTAGCTTTGGCCTGGTGACTTGATCTCCCTGGGTGCATCTACGTGTGCTATTAATGTGCTGTAAGCTTACTGCGCTGTAAAATATTGCTCAGTAAGCTTTCCCTGGGAGCATGTCTACACATGCATCTGGCGGGAGCAGTTCGGTGCAGGGCTGCTACTGCCCTGCTCTGCCCCTCTACAGCCTCCAGGGGGAGCTCCAGGCTCCCCCAGGTGCCAGCCCTGGGCTGGCAAGGGGCACGGGGGCAGTAGGGGATAGGGGGAGCCAAATTTCACCATTTTTAATGTGCATTAAGGGCGTACATGTGTAGACACACACCTGTAATGTGCATTAAATTAGGCTAATGTGCATTAACCTTAGGCCTGTGTGAAACACCATCGCTTTATTTTGACGTCCATTTTGCTGTTTCAAAGGGACAGTGTTTCGTTTCATCATTTCGTTTTGTTTCGAAGCACTGTCCCATTTTGTTTTGTTGAAACTGTTTTGCTGTTTTGACGCGTTCTGACGTTTCACCCATAGGCTATGATGGGGAATCATGAAAATGCCTAAAACTTTGTCATTTCTTGCCTGATTTGAATGAAAATTGCAGGGATAGTAGCCCCTTCTGAGGGCATGAAGCCTGCTACATTTCAAGGGGATAGGTGCAGAGGTTTCTGGGAAACTGCACCTCAAACTCTTCAAAACACTCCTGACACTTGCCAGCAGCAGCAGCCTCCTCTCATCCGGAGTGCAGATCCAGGGGCCCGCACCCCCAGGAGGGCTGCTGGGCTGTGCCAGACTCCTCCTAGGGGTACGAGACCCCGCATCTGCATGTCAGATGAGAGGAGGCTGCTGCTGCTGCCTGGGACAGGCAACAGCAGCAATTTCCTCTGGTCCCAGGAGGCAGAGAGGGCTATCAGGCTGCAAGCCCCTGGATCTGTGCATTGGATGAGAGGAGGCAGCAATTTTCTCCGATGCTGGGCATAGCGTGCGCCCAGCGCCAGTCCCAGGTGCCAGAGGCAGCCTCCTCTCATCCAGGGCGCAGATCTGGGGGCTCCCACCCCCAGGAGGGCTGCCAGGCTGCGCTGGACTCCTCCCAAGGGTGCGAGCCCCCAGATCTGTGCCCCAGATGAGAGGAGGCTACCGCTGCTGCCTGGGACCAGCGCTGAAGCCAGTATGCCTGGCTTTGAAACTCAAAACCTTTCAAAACTTTCAAAACATTTTGAGTGCCCCCTTTTTGTTTCAAAGCTGTTTCAAAGCCTTTTGTTTCATTTTGAATTTGCTGTTTCATGCTCAAAACACGTCAAAATAGCTTCGAAACAAAACACCCAGCAAAATTTTGCACAGCCCTAATTAGCATGTCTGGTGTAGATGTGCCCTGTGTGTCTTAGGCCCTGTACAATTTATGAGGAGTCTCCTTTAGTTCCAGAAGCCAGGCCAGGCTTCTGGGAACAGGATCTGTGCTTCTTCTCTCTGTGCAATTCTTAGGTAGTTGCAGCACGTGATGCTACCAAGGTGTTGCTGTGACAGTCCACCCACTACCCTAGCAGGGTGGAGACAGGAGTGTAGGGTGGTAGGTTATGTGGTGCTTGTACCATGCTGGGACAGAGTAGGAGAGTGCCCGTAATTAAAAAGCCCTGCTTATCTCCACATGACAGCCACCCAGCAGGATCCGTTCCCAGAAATCTGCACCCTTTCCAGGGTATGGGCAGCTCAGCCAGCCTGACCAGTGCAGGAGGAGTTTGGTACCCTGGGATCATCCTGTTGATGTGCCTGGGAAGGCAGGGTCTGAGCTGGCAGGTGGTGGCCTTGGAAATGAGCAGGTCAGGCTGCCATCAGGACTGTGTGAGTGAGAGCATGTGGGGTGGCTGGCTTAGTTGTCACGAGGGATGTACTTAGCCATGTTAGTCTGAAGCCAAGTAGAGGGCAGGGTAGATTTGTACCTTATAGAGTCTATAATATAGACTAACCCAAGTAGGTAGATATATATATACCATAAGCATTCATGAGCTGAAGTTACTTCATCAGGTCCTGTGAAAGGGTGTGCAGCAAGCAAAGTAGTTGTCATTGGCTTGGCCTTAAAGCATGACTGCCATGGCTCTTCTCCAAGCCTCACGCTCCCATATGTGGTGGGCAGATGTACTGGAGGTGTCATCCCCTGTGAACCCCAAACAGAGAGGAAGGCAGTTTTCTAAATTACCCCAGCGAGCCCCTTGCATTGGTAATCCTGGGGCACCAGGGTCTGCATAGCTGAGGCCCACAACTCCCACCTGCCATCCCCTGCTCTTCCCCCACATGCAGCACAGCTGATGCCCTTCCATCTTCACCCACATCCCCCCTGCTGTCCCAGCCCCAAGCAGTGCATGAGCAAGTAGAGCCTGTCCTTCTGTGCTCTTAAGTGCAGCTGTCCGTGCCAGCCATCATGCCCCACCAGACCAGAGATGCAGTCATTATAATGGAGCATGTCAGCAGGAGCCACTGCCCTTCTCCTGCATCTTGGCCTGTTCATTTGTTGCTTTTAGCCAGCATGTCCACGAAGCCTTTGGGGGCTATGGAATATACAATCCAGAGGCCAGCTGGGCCATGTGAGGAGCAGCAGCTCTGCTTCTTGATAGCTCCCACACAGTGCCAGCATTACACTGCCACACAGCCATCCATCAGGCTGCTGGACACTCCACAGCTGTTCCTGGTAGCTCCATCCTGATGGCCATCTCAGGCATGGCTCTGTGCAGCAGGCTGCCGCCTTTCCGGTGGAGCTGGGAGGAGGCCCACAGCTGCACTGCACAGCTGGCTCCAGGACCTGCCTGCACCCTGGAGAGGAATGTGGTTGGTGGAGCTGCCACCAGGGTGGGGCAGTGAGAGACGAGCTTTACCAGCCAGCCTGGTGCAGTGTGCTCAGAGCAGTGCACGCCCCTGCCAAGCGAGGATCAGGATGGCCGAGAGCTCCAAGCTCCAGCTGTTCATCAAGGTAAGGGCTGCCCCTCTGCCAGGTGGGGGGTCAGGCATGCAGCGGGGGGCTCATTAGGAAACTCCAGCTGTATGTGTACACAGCGTGTCACAGCTCACAGAGCTCTGCTTGTTAACACTTGCAGGCTGATGTAGACTGGGAGATGTCTTTGGGCTGGGTCTGGCGGGGAGTCCGTCTCTAGACAAGTGATCCCCAAGGTTGTGCTGGGCTACCAGGGATAGTTCAGCTGGAGCCCTCAGTCCTACCTGCAGCCCCTCCCTTGCCCCCTGTGCCTCGCTGCCCTAACAGACCTCACAGTCTCCTGCATGTGACCCCCTCCCAAGGGCTTGGCTCCAGGAGGCTCTGGCTAACACTGCCCAGAGTGACTTAGCTGAAGGCGCAGAGGCTGAAAAGGCTGCACGTGTTCCTGCCTCTCGCCCTCGGCCTGTGGTCAGAGGAAGGTGGGTTTCTGATGTAGAGACCTGTCTGCTGCAGTGGAGGGGGCCATGTGGTGGGTGTTTGTAGCTGTGAGGGTCTCCTCAGCTGATAACTGCTCGGTGGTACTGGTGGGTTTTGCCACCTTTGCTCTCTGCTTACCCTGGCTGCTGGCGAGGAGCTTCCTGGGGCATTTAACACTGTCTCTAGTGAAGCTAACAGCTGCTTGCTGAGATAGCGGTTAGTGTGGTTTACCCTTCGGTGCCCTTCACAGCCAGGACCTTCCACTCTGCTCCTCTTCTTCACACAAGACTCTGCTCCCCTCCTCCCCAGGTGCAGGCAAGGAGCCTCCAACCCCCAGCCCAGTACACCCCCACAGAGCAGCTGTCTGGATGAGCCATTAGCACTTTTGCCAGGTGTGTGGGGGGCACTGAGCTGCGCAGGACCTTTTGATACCTGTAAGGTTTTGGCCACCTCAGGGCTTCTCATCAAATGAGCCAGCAAAACTGCCTCCTGTGCAGAGAAAGGCACAGGGAAATGGAGCACCCAGTCCCACCCAAGTCCAGCAAAATCCCTTCCCTCCAGCTCCAGTACCTGCCAGCCTCACTCCCCTGAACAGGGGCTGGACCTCTGCCTGGTTGGCAGAAACCAGCTGGGCAGCAGAAGGCACCAGGTTCTTTGGGCATTTCACCAGTGCCAACCCCCTTGCTGGCTTTTGCAGGGCCTGACTGATTGTGGAGCCATGCCCTCAGTCTGTTCCCTCCCTGGGATTTCTCTGTCAATTGGTGTTGAGAAAGCCAGCCTGGTCCCTTGCTCCTGGGCACACAGTGGCCAGGGGTTGGCATCACTTTAGCAGGGATATGGTCAGTGATAAGCAGCTTTTACTTTGAGGGTCACTCTCCTCCCACATCCTTGCCAACCCTGGTCTGGTTATCCTGGTTACTGGGCAGAGATGCCCATACTTACCTTTGACCTCTGGGGTCTGGTTCCCACATGACCCCACTGAGCCTGGGCTTCCCTATGCCTAGAAGGGCACATTAGTGCAAGTCCCATGACTTGTTCCATCTGGGAAGGAGATGCTGGTGCCCTCAGCGATAGCTGCACCTGGCTGCAGCTGGCTCCGGGCATCCTGCATGTTAGCACAGTGTGACTCTGAGTAAGGACTGTAGTGCCCACGGGCAGTTGTCCCAGCAGTCAGACCCACTGGGAGGCAACCCGGGGCTCTTAGCTGTTGGGAAGCCTTTATTCTATTGGGCCTCTGTAAACAATGTACCTGCCCTTAACCTTGCACAGGGGAGCCAGGCTCCTCCAGCCCAAGCAAGTTGGGAGCAGAGCAGAGTAGTCCCAAGGTAGTGGAGAGGAAGATTGTCATGGTGCTGCTGTGTCCTCCTTCCTCCAGTCCCTACCAATATGTTGGAGGATGGCATTAGAGTTGGAAAGGGTCTGCATACATTGGGGACCTGAGCTAGAGACAGCGCAATGGAATACAACCAAGCCAAAAGCAAGGTGCTTTCTCCAGGGGAATAAACTGAATGCACAGAAACAGGTGGCGAGATACCTGACAGAGCAGTAGCAGTGCTGAGAAGGACCTGGGGGCTTTGTTGGATCACTGACTTAACAGGAGTCGGCACTGTGATGCAATAGCAATAGCAAGAGCAGCAAATGCTTAAGCAGGAGTGTTGTATGTGAGGCCGGGGGTGACAGCACCACTCTGCTCAGCCCTGGTTAGGCCTCATGCTGCTCGGCTGTGCGTTAGGAAAGCTGTAGAGAAAACGGAGGGGGCCCAGAGGCAACTGACACAGCTAATAAAGGGGCTGGAACGCAAACTCTACAAGGAGCGGTTGAGGGAACCAAGTATGTTTAGCTTAGAGAAAAAGTGATAGCAGCTTTCTTGATAGCAGCCTTTCAAATATTTGAGGAGGGGGAACAGCCTGCTCTCCCATCAGCTGAAAAGGGCAGGGCAGGAAACAGCAGCAAGAAATTGAGATTAGATCTCAGGAAAACCTTTGGAGCTGTCAGACAAGGGTACAAGGCGCCCAGGGAAACTGTGGGATCCCCTTCGCTGGAGGTGGTGGGGGGTAGTTGGAGAACAGGCAGGCCTGACAGCTGGCTGGGTTGGTTAGGAACAGTGCATCCTGCATCACAGCAGGGGGGTGGAACCAGGTGCCCCCTGAGGTGCCTTCCAGGCCAAGAGTCCATCCGTGCACATGGGCAGGTTGTGTGATAATTTAGGGCAGGAAGCAGAAAAGACTCCTGCAGCCACTGAAACTGCAGGAGAAGTGTCTGGTGGCAGGACACCCTGAGCCCTGCTGGAACCCGTGCATAAGCCCATCTTGGGGTGGTAGCTGTGCTGTTCAGTTAGGTGGGTCCAGCAGCACTGTTTGCAAGGGGTGGTGGCATTATTGGGTGTTCTGTTCATCAGACCAGGCTGGAGGTCAGGAGTGCTGGGGTGTGTTCCTGGCTCTGCTACTGCTTTTCTGACTGGCCTTAGGCAGGGCCTTTGGCAGGTCCCTTCACCCTTGGCTCTCAGTCCTCCCCACCCTAAAAATAGAGACTAATAATAAAGCACCCAAGTCCACTTAAGGCAATGGAAATTGTGGCTTGCTTGTACCCAGCTGTTGTACGCTGTAGCCTAGACCAGGAGTGATGCACTCCAGTGAGTTATGCAGGCTGGATCTGAGCTGCCACAGCTGCTGTTAACCCCCTTGCTGCCCTGTCACCAATTTGGGTGCCAAATGAGAATCAAAAACCAGAAATATGGCTGTGGATTTGGTGGGGGGAGGGGAGGAAGAAGGCCATTAACCCCCTGGCGGCTGATCACACTGGCACAGCAGCTCTGAGAGACACAGAAAGAAGCCCCATGGGAGATGAGTTGTCTGCCAGAGAGAAACCCTGCAGGTCAGATGACTTCCTCTGCAGGCCAGATGCAGCCTGTGGGCTGGCTGTATGTTGGACACCCCTGGCTTAGCCGTTGCTTTCCCCCTTGAGTTTCTGTGTCTCTGGGAATATGCAGCCTGTGCAATGTAGGCCTTATGTCATGCTCCAACCTGGGTGTAGCTGTGTTGTCCAGTGTCTGACTCACCTGCCAGAACAGGCTAGGTGTAACCAGACTGCAGCATCCGCCCTGGAACAGAAGGGAAGGGCATGTAATGTTAGAATAATCTTCATTACAAAACTCCCTGCCCAGCAAGGACTCTGCCTTGGGGTTCTGTGCCAGGGGCTGGAGCTCATGCCAGGGCCTTCCCTGCTACAGCTGCTGGCTTCCCTGTGCCAGAGAATGTGTGAAGCTCTAGAGCTTCCAGCTAACCAGACTAGGGAATTAATGGTTCAGTCTCCTGGCAGCCCTCAATCCTGCCAGGCTCTGAAAGGGGCAAGCAGAGCATCCGTGGCCAGCTGCCATCTGGAGTAACTGCTGAGCCTCTTGTGAAATCTTGTGCACTGAACTTATAGAGACAGCCTTCAGGTACTTGGACACTTACAACAGCCACCCTGCTGCCAGGGGATGGGGCACGCTGGCACAGGGCAATGGTTCCTGTGCTGAAAAACCTCACCAAGGAACCCAGTAGGGCCTCATGAGGCTTAGCAGGGAGGACTTGCTTTTCCCTTCTGTCTCCAGTAGTGTCACAGGGTTGTGTATAACCCAGGTGCTTGCTAGTCACTAAGAGGAGGAGCACAGCCTGGTGATTGCTGGGCATGGGGGTCAGAGCAGGCGATGGGTCGACCAGTCAATCTAGCTAACAAACACACTAAGCTGGGGCTTGGGGGCAATGACTTTTGATCTCTCTACTCAGTCCTCCGGTAGGAAGAAGCCACATAAGGAATAGCTGCAGGACTCAGGTTAGCTGAGGATGGCACAGCAGCTTGTTGTGATGTTGGTTGTTTCACCAAAATGGCATTTTTCTAGTGGTAAAGCGTGGTCTGTCTGCAGAGGTCCCAGTGCAGGGGATGAGAGGGTCCCTCCAGATTTACCCCAGTGTAGCTGGGACTGGAGGCTGGCCCTGATGATCATTAATGATCCAGCAGCCCTACCTAGCATGCAGTTTCGGTACCATTCATCAGAGGCTGCATACTAGCCAGCACAGGCCTAGATAAAACCAGACCCCGCTTGGCCAACACCCATGTGAGCTATGCAGAGTGTCCCTGCCTGAGCCCAAAGTGCAGGGTGGGAAGTGCAGCCTAATAGCATTGTTCTTTGTTTGCCTGCGAGTCCGTCACTGTCTTTTCTCTGCAACACCAACAAAGACACCGCCTTCCTTGGCACCAGCTTCTTTTGCCCATGGTCTGTCACTGTACAAGCCATAGGATTATCTGAAGGAAACTACCCTGGCTATTGCAAAAGCTGATTCGTACCCCAGCTGGTACAGTTGGTCCCTTGGTCACAGTGTCCAGGCAGCCAGGACTTATGGCTCCGAGTTGTCTCTGATCACAGTCTCCCTGCATTGTACAGATGGAGGAAACAGAGGCATAGAAGGGTTCAATGTGAAATTCAGCCTGCACAGGACTCCCCCAGCCCTGAGTGTAGGCGGGAGGAGACTTCCCGGGACGGGGGGTAGGGGGGAGTAGGGAAGGAAGGCTGTAGACATTGCCCCCGGCACAAGGGTGCTATGTGTCTCCACAGGCCAGCGATGATGGCGAGAGCATTGGGCACTGCCCCTTCTGCCAGCGCCTCTTCATGGTCCTCCTGCTCAAGGGCGTGCCCTTCACTCTGACCACTGTGGATGTGAAAAGGTGAGCAGAAAGGCTGGGCCAGGAAAACCATCACAAGTTGCCCACACTCCCTCCCCCCTAGGATACCCACCCACTTCCATGGAGCCCCCTGCCTCTCCTTTCACCTGTGTGTCCACCAAGGCGACTCACCCAAAACCAGGAAAGGAGACTGGACAGATTGGAAAGGCCCAAGCTTCCTCTTCCCCCTGACCATGCTAGCTCACCTTCTGCTCTGCCATGTGATGGGGCAGGCAACAAGTTCTGTCTGTTCAGGGCAGCACAGCAGGGCACTTGCTGGCAGAGGACATCAGGCTGGCACACGGCCACTGCATGGCTTGCATCTGCAGACAGGTGCATGGCAGCACCTGCTGGCGTCTGCCCCAGCAAGCTCCTGGCCATGCCCCAGCGTCACTGTGAGCCCCTCTCCCTGCAGATCCCTGGATGTCCTGAAGGCTTTTGCTCCAGGGTCCCAGCTACCCGTGCTGCTGTATGATGGGGAACCCAAAACTGACACCATCAAGATTGAGGAGTTCCTGGAGGAGACACTGAGGCCCCCAAAGTGAGTGGCCAGCCCTTCCCTTGGGCACTGTCAGCCCCACACAATCAGAGTAACAAAGATCAGTCCCCGGGGGTGGGGGGATGCTGTGTTGGGGGCAGGGATGGGGAATATGATGGTTTCTTCAGGGCTGGTGGGAGGGGGAAGCAGGGTGGAGCAGGGTGGGAAGGTAAGAGCTGGATAGTGATGGGGCAGGATGAAATGGGGAGTGAGAGAGGACGAGACGGGCACAAGGGCATGGGAAGAGACAAAGAAGGAGAGGACAGACTTTAGGGCACAGTAGGGGACTCTGAGTCCATGTGGCTTCCCAGGCTTGCCCCAACCCAGGCCCACCGCTCTGCCCCAGCTTACAGCCTCCCTCCGTTGGCCTCTTGCAGGTACCCAAGCCTGGTTCCACGGTACAAGGAGTCCTTTGTGGCAGGCAACGATGTCTTCCACAAGTTCTCTGCATACATCAAGAACCCACTGCCTGCCCAGGATGAAGGTGAGGGCTTGTCACGTCAGGGATGGACAGGAGGGCATCTACAAGCAGCCACATGGGGCAGGGCCCTGCTGCCTTCCTTGGCATCATGCTGCCAGCCCCACATGCCTCCCTGCTGCCCCGCGCAGGCTTGCTGCTGCTCTCCTCAGCTTTATCAGCCTAAAACCCCTCCCAGGCCTCCCCTCAGCGGAGTCAGACCTTGCCTGGCCCTCCTCATGAGTCATCGCTATGGCACTGGCTCCCCTTCCTCTGGGAGGAGGCCTCCGCTCTGCTAGAAGGGGCTCACCCCAGGGCAGGTGGGGAGCTCTCATCCTGACCCAGGCACCCCCAACTCTGCCTGCAAGGAGTGAGCAGCTGAAGCCCTGCAGTGAGCTAAGGCACAGGGGCATGGTCCTATGACCTGAGCCACCCTGGCCTGGGGGTGGTTGGGACTGTCCCTGGAGCTGGCAGGGCAGCTTTCGCCAGCAGAGGAAGGTGCTCATCCTTGCATGGGGCAGGGGCTAATAGGGCCTGGCCATCAGACAGCAACACCATGCCAGCCCTTGCAGGACTCTGCAGGCCTTGTGCTGATTGCTCTGCTCCCCACACCCTAGCCCTGCAGAGTGGCCTGCTGAAGGCCCTGTGGAAACTGGACACGTACCTGCGCACACCCCTGGAGTATGAGCTCTCCCAGGACCCCCGTCTCACCGTGTCCCGCAGGCGTTTCCTGGATGGGGACCAGCTCACACTAGCCGACTGCAGCCTGCTGCCCAAGCTCAACATCGTCCACGTGAGTGCAGGATCCCCTGAAGCACCACCTCACCCTGCTCCCCCCTGGGAGCCCTCCTCTACTTCATCCCTACTCTATCCTCCACCAAGGGCCCTCTACCTCCCCTACATGGACTAGTGACCCATCAGATTCCCTCTTCCCTTCAGCCCTGCACAGAAGTGCCTGCCACTTGCCCCTCACTAGTCCCTGCCACCCCTGGCTGGCCACTGCTGCCACACTGAGCCCTACACAAGCTGGTGTTGGGCTGGGGCAACTCCCTACATCCCAAGGACAGAACGGCAGCAGGAGATGGGATTTTTTTCCATGGGGGCAGATCCCAGACAAAGCCCTCAGCTCCACGCAGCTCTCCGAGTTGCAAGGGAGCACAGTGCACTCCAGCTGGGGCCTGCGATCCGGGAGGCTCTGCTGGGAAAGCCGGGGGTGGCCTGGGTGAGGTAGTGGGGGGAAACAGTCTGAGTGCAGAGGATAAGAAATGCTGCTGCTCCTCCCCACAGGTTGTTTGTGAGCACTACCGGCAATTTGGGATCCCCAAGGACCTGCGAGGCATCTGGCAGTATCTGAACAATGCCCAAGAGGTCAAGGAATTCAAGTACACCTGCCCCAACAACGAGGAGATAGTGCAGGCCTATAGCTCTGTGGATCGGTCCTCCAGCGAGCAGAGGCCACTACCATCTCCACGTTCACCAATGGCTCCCCTGTCCCCCTCCATTAATGGCCAGTGCCAAAGCCCCAGAGCAGGAGGTGGGGCCGGGGGAAGGGTATAGAGACAGACCTGATGGGGCTGTGCTGTGAAATGAGCCTGTGTGTTATCCACAAACACCAAACAGAGGTGGAGGGAACAAGAGCTGCTCCGGGCTTGTGCCCTGAACAGCCGTGGCCCAACACTGCTCCTGGATTGGGGTGAGCTGGGCCTGGGTTACATCAGGGCAGTGCTAGCAGTCCTACCTGATTTAGGAAGGGCTTTAGCCCAACAGGAGGCTGCTCTTTGGTGGCCATCACCTCCTCTCCCTCCAGCCTGCCCCATGTACCCTGAAGCCCTCCCCGAGGGAGGGTTTTCTGGGAAGCCTCTTCAGCTAATATCCTTCCATCTTGTCTGACGTGCTCCCTCGAGGCCTCTCACTCCAGCCCCCCGCTTCTCCAGCCCCATCAAGACTTGGAGGTAGAAGTAATTCATGTACAAGGAGGCGGCACGGCCACCTTCTCAAGGCCAACCCTGTCCATCACCTGCCTGCTAAGGACACAGTGATAACAGAAGCCTCAGAGCTGGAATGGAGCAGAACAGGCTGCAGAGAAGACTTCTGGCAGCCGGGAGCTCCCCTGGGGCCTGGGCAGTGCATCCCAGCCGGCGAGCGGGGAAGGCAGGCGGCAGAGGAGACCAGCAAGGCTGCATAAAGCTGCTTGAACCTGTCCACTAAGGCTCCTCCCTGTGCTAAAAAGGGCTCAGCCCTCACTATGCCAGGAGCCGTAGCTTCCATTCCAGGCCACTCTGCACCTGTTGGCAGCAAGGGGCAGGTTTCCTGCAACAAGCAGGGGCTCGCAGTGGTGAGTCCCACAGATCTTCAGGAGCCAAGAAGCCTTCCTAGAAGCAAAACCACCTGGGGGGAGGGGTAAATACACACTAATGCCTGGCCATGGAAGGAGGTGGGTTCCTGCCCCAAAGGTTGGCCCAGCCCTAACTGAGCCCTGTACTAGCATCACAGTGGCCTTTAAAGAGCCAGGGACAGGGAGGTTGTGAGGGGGAAAAACAGTTGTACAGCAGTGTGCCACCTCTGGTGTTCAAGGTCACAGGCGCTGCAAGCTGGCTCGCAGCCCTCTGCTGAGGTATCGGGGTTGAGAGGCTCATTGCCTAGCTACCCCCAGGCTCTCTGCCACCCGGTCCAGTAGCTACAAGGCTCATCCCTTCTTTTGTCCCAAACCTCACCACATTTGTCTCTAGCAGGTCATATTTGTCTACTGTCCTAGAGCTTTTAAGAGTCAATAAAGAGGAAAGAAAGGCAAAGCACAGCACGTCGTGGTGTTGAACAATAACTGACCTTCTCCAGGGAGGGGAAGTTTCTTGACCACATGTGGGCTACACAGGGCACAGCTGACATGGGAGCCCCAGGAGAGGGTTTGCAGCTCTCCCTGTCCACAACTATAGCCCTGTAGCTACAGATGATCTTGCTTCCCCCAAGGCCCATCACGAAGTGACCAAAAAAACCAAATGCAGTAAGACCAGGCTATTAGCATGCAAAGCAAGAAGTCACTAGTTTATTTAAAATAAGTTATGGACACAGGTTGGGTAATTAAAATAGCCAGATAAAAATGTCATTAAAATGTAATTCATTCAAAGTCAAATTCATTCTAAGCCCTGAGGGCAAAGCAGATTGGGAGGGGTGGGGGGAAACAGGACTGCCTCTGAGCCCCTCCCTGCCTGCCTGCAAAGGGGGAGCAGCTCCCCACAGAGCTGAGGTCATGGGCCCTGAGGTTCTGCTGCTTGCCTCTGCTTGCAAGACGTATCACACAGGTCACAAGGCTTCAGGTTTCAACCGTCCTCCAGGGACTCAGTCAAGCATAAGGCAGGGCTGGGCACTGTTGAGCTTTATAATTCATTTGCAGAGTAAAATCCCCTTAGTCAGATGCTGTGAAAAGTCATGCATAAAAGGGCCCAGGTTGGGGTCAGGAGTCTTCAAAGTCTACCCCAGCTGGTGCCTTCTTACTGGAAGAAAAGGGAGAAGAGAGTGGGGGTTTGAATACTGGATGTAGTCATTTTCCAGCTCCTGATCCATCAGCCATCTTACAAGCACATTCCCACAGAAGCTACCAGGCAACCCATGAGCACATGTCTGCCCAACCCAGCCCTGGGGGTCAGGTAGGGCCCAGCTGAGTGCTGGGCCACGGTACTGGACTTACTGGGGCTTGGAGTCCAGGAGAAGATGAGACATTGAGAGTTACCTTTTGAATCCAGGGTTTATGAGAGACTCTCCTGGGACTCTTCTCTTGGCCAGAACAGCTGAGCCTCCACCTTGATTCTTCCTGGGACTCGGATCTGCTTGGAAAAGAGAAGACTTGCTGGTGAAAGGGCTGCCCTTGCCAACGAAGAACAAGCACAAGCCTTGTGGGGTAACACCTGGCTGCACTTAATGGGGTCCAGAGCTAGAAAGAACCCCAGGGGCCCTCTGCATGCAGTGGTCTTGGCCAAGCCCCATCCCTTCTCTGCCTCTAAGGAAGGCCAACAGGAGCTTTGCTTTGGGGACTGGAAGGATCAGATCTGTGCCTGCTTATGTTCAGAGTCCCAAGTTGCCATGAACAGTGGTGGAGATCTCAGCTGGCACCAGGTCCGAGACAGCAGAGAGGAATCTCTCCGCCATGGTCCTGGATGGAGCGACACTGGCTTAAGAGCCAAGCAAAAAGGTTTCAGTGCCTGGCGGCATTCACACTGCAACTCCAGTTCGAGGGGAACATGGGTAATACTGGCCAGTGCACCTGCCTGGTGGTGCATTGTCATGGCAGACATTGTATCATTTCCTGATCTGAAAGACTCTGCAGCCCCCAGCACCAAATCATGGCTGCATTTAAGGAAGGGTGCCAAATTCATGGCTCGCAGAGTCTTCTGCAGTGCCCAGATCCAACTGCAAGAGTAGCAAGCTGCAGGCAGAGCAGCAAAGTCCTGGCATCTAGGTTGCCCCCCCCTTCCCCCCCAGCTCCCTACCTGGCATCAACAGCTTTTGGTTTCTGGGTTGGTTCTTCTCAGACCTGCACACAGCAGCAGCAGCAGCCGCAGCAGCACCTTCTGCCGCTAAAGAGGGCAAACAGAAACAACCACATCAGATAAAGGCTCTTGGCAAGTCCTGCTCCAGGTGCAGAGGCCTGCTTCACCCAGGGCAGGAGTACAGCGAGGAAAGGGAGGCGAGTGATGCTGTACCTCACACACACACTATGCTCTCCACGAGCAAGCTCCTGCTCTTCCTCCCAGGGCTCATAGCCCCGCAACCTCCATCCCATGTCCACAGGGGAGTCATTGTTATCGCTGTGTGTGGCCACCAGCATCCCATGGCAGGGACCTCCGAGGTCACCATTTGCATGGTGCCAGCTGCATCCATGCATTTACACCAGCGGTCCGCAAAATATGGCCTGTGGGCCAGGTCCAACTCAAAGAGTGATTTTGCCCGGCCCGCAGTAGGTCCTTCAGCTCCACCTGGCTCAGGACCAGGAGGGAAACACTGAGATCTTGGGGTGATGACAGTGCAGGGCCGGGGCAGAGCCCCAGTTCTGAGAGCAGGGACATGCCCTGAGTGCATCACAGTTCTGCCCGGCCCCCCACTGTCACCGCCCCAAGATCCCAGGGTCTCCGGGAGCCATGCAGGCAGGGCAATCTGACTGCATCCGCCTGGCAAAGTACGCTACCCGTGTGGCTCCTGGCCAGTCTCCAGGAAGACCCTGGGATCTTGGGGCAGTGATTGTGTGGGGCTGAGGCACAGCCGCAATTTGTTCTCTAGACAGTCCCCCATCGCAGGGGCATGTGGACAGCAGATCACAGCTCTGCCTTGGGTCCCAGGCCCCGGCCCCATGCTGTCATCGCCCCATGATCCTGGCCTCACCTGCCCCTCCCACTCCTGAACACCACTCCCAGCCTGCCTGTGGCCCCAGCCTACATAGGGAGTTTTGGTGAGCTGTTGCAGGGGTGTGGGCAAAGAAAGGGAGGGTATGCTGACCCAGCCTGTGGGCCTAAATAATTGCCCACCCCTGACTTACATGCTTGGGCAGCAAGGAACTCACTGGGCTTCCCTTCTTCTACCCAAACACCCAGCACCTCCTCACCGACCCATGTGGGTTTTTACCCCTATAGCAGAAAGACCCATGCAGGGCTCCAACAGAAGGCAACTTCCCTTCTCTTGTGTGTCTGGTTGCACAACAGACTCGAGTGTTTGATTGCACAATATCAACCCAGCCCAGCCCAGCCATGCATCAAGAGCAGGTGCAGGCTAGTTCTGGACTGGTCATTGCCCAGGTGACACAAGTAATTCATCTTCCCTCTGCCTGGCTCACAGCAACACCTGCAATGGCTGAGTCAGGCCCCTTTTCAAACTCACAGTCCTGTTCCAGCCCCATGTGTGCAAGATGCACAGGGATGATACAAGCTGCCTTGTCTTTCCCCTTCTTCCAGAGTCACAGGATAACTGTGCCATATCCTCATCACGTGCCCCAGGTACCCCAGCACAGCTCTGACCTCTGCCAGCCCAGAGCATGTTCTGCCCAGGGCTGGTCCCGCTGCAGCCTAGCTTTCCAGAAGCAGGTAAGATTTTTATCCGTTGTTGGTAGCCAAGGTGCGGCAGCCCTGGAACACTGCGCTCCTACCATACCAGGAACCAGCATTTCATGGTGCTGCAATGAGGGAGCATCTCTCCAGACCACTCAAGAGGTCATGCTCTGAATTAAAGTGGAGCTCAGATTTAGCAGCTCTACTGAGAGCTGCACTCCCTCCCTCCCCTGCCCCCCAAAACAGGCATGCACATATACACATGCCTGGTACCTTCAAGACGTTTTTCCAAGCGGCTGACACAACCCATGAGGCCAAACATCAGAGCCTGGAGCCGCATCCTGGCTTCAGAGGAGGGGAGTTTGAAGAGGTCAAAAGTCAGGCTCCAGGCATCTTCCTTGAGCTCCAGAGTGGCTCTGCCGTTGTGCACCGTCAGGGCAGCCGTTCTGTGCTCAAAGGCTTCTCTGTATAGGCAAGAGACTGAAGTGACACAGGGGCCTCAAAGCTAAGCACGAAGAGACTGGATCATCCGGCCCCACAGCAGGGGGACCGTGCAAGGGATCTCACCTGAACTTTGTGCTGTAATCCTCAGAGATCCCGCTCTGGGCCATCTGAAACGCAGAAACCACAGAGGAAGGCTGAGCTGCCAGTGACGGACAAGCGGGGAACAGATCCATTTTCACCTCATGCCTTGGTTAGGGCCATTCTACATCTACTCATCGCTCTGTCTGCCTCACTCCTGAGACCACCCCAAACTCAAATAAAGGCATCCCACCACCATCCCACCCCGATGCCACTCTTGAGCTCTGTCTCAGGTGTGCTGGAGAGCACTAGGATGTGCATGCGCAGAGCAAAAACTAGTGCAGGCTTCCCAGCCGGGCTCTCAGGAGTGCCACAGAAGCAGCGCAGACAGTGCCTTAGTGACCATCCAAGTCCTGGGACAGAGATGAGTCAGGCACACCCCCCCAACAAATGTCAGAGTAGAGCCCAAGCTGTTTCAAAGGAGATTCCCTCATGCCACACTATCTCCAGAAGCCCACTCCTCCTCTCTGCAGACAATGCTCATGAGAAGATGGCTGCAGGGTGACCCACCGGGCGTTACTGTTTCCCTCCCCATGCACATGGAGACACCAAGTGACTGAAACCCATTTCCAGCCCCAGTGCTGCAAGGCAGTTTGGCACATTTCAGCCTGACACCACATCACCTGCACTGGGCAGATGGGCACAAGAAGCAGAGGGACAGGTCACTGCATGGTCATACCCGACACACAGGGTGGATCGTTCATAGACTTGAAGGACCCCCATGGTGCATGGAGTGCGACCCTGAAGTTGCATGTGCCCGACTGCATGGGCTCAGTAACTTGAGTCCAGAAGTTAGCCCAGAACTCGAGTGGCAGGAAGGCAGCCAAGCTTGCCTTGGAGAGAGATCACCCATTGCTTCCTTTGATACCTTCTTTCACTGGTTAATCAGGCTATAAAGAACATGTGTCTTGTTTCCTATTTGAATGTGTCTGATTCTTTATCTTCCTGCCCTTAGCCCTTGTTATGGCTGCCTCTGATAAAGGAGCTTTTTAGTTCCCAGGATTTTCTCCCCAGGAAGGTAAGTCTTTACTGCAAACAAGGCAATCAATATCAATTACTGGTTTTAGAAGCCTGGATAATCACCTTTTACAGGTATAATCAAGGGCTCCATTTCTCTTATAGTTGTTTTGTTTTCCAGTTTCCTGTGTGTGTTGTCAGGCCAATTCCAGTGGTTTCAAATAAACTGCTATACTCTGTGTTTTAAACTGCCTGCTTTAAACCACGTGAAATTTAAGCTCCCTGCCTCTGCAGACCTGTTTCAGCTGGCTAGATGCGAGTGGAGCCCTTTATAACTAACATCTCAGCTGTTACACTGCCCGTGTTACCCACATGTCTTTCCAGCTTCTCCTGATTGAAGTCAGTGCTCCAGACCTCAGATGCGTTGGTTACACTGGGGAAGACAAGAGCGGATGGGATTAGAACAGGGGTGGGCAATTATTTCGGGCGGAGAGCCGCTTACTGAGTTGTGGCAAGCCATCGAGGGCCGCATGATAGGCAGCCCAGGGCAGATAAATATTAATTTTCTAAATTTTTTAGGGGCCCCGCGGGCCGGATAGAATGGCCTGGTGAGCCGCATCCAGCCCCCGGGCTGCATTTTGCCCGCCCCTGGATTAGGAGGATCCTGTCAACCTGACATCTGTCCAGTGGCTTTGTGCCAAAGGCAGAGCAGCCTTTTCCATGTGGGATGTTTTACATTCCGTGTTTTCCCTGGCCACTTTTACCCTCTTCCCTTGCTCTGGGGAAGACCCAAGCAAAGGGGAGTGACAGGTGCTGGAAACCCCGTCTGCAAGAGACAGGGTGACATTTGCCAGCCGCAGAAGTGTCTCTGCTCCTAGTCGCTGGCACAGCTGTGACAAGAGCAGGTCAACAGAAACCAGAGGGAAGCGCAGTTTACAGCCCGCCGCCTTTCAGCGCCAGACTCGCTCGCAGTCCTTGAAATGAAGGCACCGGGGCCGGTTCTCACACACGGGTGCCCTTGCACCGCTCCGGCTGCGCCAAGGGACTCGAAGCCAGTGCCACCTGCGTCCCCTCTGCCCCCTCCCCGGCAGCCGGGCGGGCTCCCGCCGCGCGG